GCATGGCTTTTCTCGATTCTGCCCTTGTCGCTGTCAAAGGCCGGCCGGCTGTATCGAAGCCCGGCCGGCCTTCGGTGATTTCAAGTCTGTTTTTCTGTGTGTGTTGTTTTTCTTTTTGTTTTTTTTTTAAATTTTATTATTGTTTTAATTTTGAGTTTTAATTGTGGGTTTTAATTTGGGTGTAATAAGGAGTTGTATGATAATAATAATAATGAAAAAAAGAGACAAAAATGAGTGATGAAAAAGAAAGGAAAAAAGAGGTAGAATAGCAAAGAGATCAAAGGAAATAAAGAGAATGGGCAAAATATCCACTTTGTTTTGTTTTGTTGCATGAGTGCATAATTTGATTTGATTTATTCTTGTTTGATTTTATTTGATTTGTTTAAACTCATTAGTTTAAACTCATGATGTAACTTGTTCTAATGATGACTTGTTTTGTTTAATTCGTAATTCATTCCGTCATTTCTTACCACACGATATTATATGTACGGTTCATTCAGAGGAGTTTCGGATAAGTCATTCGTGTCTCGGTAAGAAAACCTGCATAGCTTTGTTGCTAAAATCTTTTGTGCATCTATCGCACTTGTTCACTTCATGCATCTCTCGCACTCATTCATTTGTGCATCTATCGCACCTATTCACTTTGTGCATCTATCGCACACCTCTCTTTGTCATTTCTTAGGACACGTGAAATGCGGCCCTGGGTGGGTTTTACCTCGGGACGTACGAAGTATGCGCCTGAGTGGTTATTTCTCAGGACACGTGAAACGCGGCCCTGGGCGGGTTTCGCCTCGGGACATATGAAGTACGCACCCGAGTGGTTGTTTCTCAGGACGCGTGAAACGCGGCCCTAGGCGGGTTTTACCTCGAGACGTATGAAGTATGCGCCCAAATGGTTGTTTCTCAGGACGCGTGAAATGCGGCCCTGGGCGGGTTTTACCTCACCCGAGTGGTTATTTCTTGGGACACGTGAAACGCGAGCCTGAGCGGTTTTTCTTGTTTCTCAAGTTGCGTGAAACTTAATCTTGAGCGGTTTCTTGTTTCTTGGGATACGTAAAACGCAGCCCTGAGTGATTGTTTTCTTCCCTCGTCCTGTGTTTTGGCGTGGAAAGATTGTGTTTTTAATCTTTTCACTTTAAGCTTAAAGTTGCTCATTCATGTATTGTTATGTCTTCTATATTCTACTTGTCATTGCTTATTGCATCATCTTGCATGATCATAAGTTTTCAAAATAGTCAGCTTCACGAGGCGTTTCAGTCCGTCTTTCAAAATTACATTGTGCATATCATTTGCATTTTGCCCCAGAACTACAATGGTTTGATTCCTTGCAAAGGGATACGTAGACAGCTTGTGAGCGCAACGAATTTAATTTATGTCTTGCTTTCTTGTCCAAGTCTTATGGCCTTGTCAAAATGGGTCGTCTCTGGGCTTTGACATTCGCTCATGTCATTTCATGACTTCGAGCTCTGTTAAAAAGGGGCAACTGTAGACACCCCATTTTTGAATGACCGCAAGACTTAGGCGCTTGGTTCAATACACTCAATAATAAAAGTTGAATTGTGAATTTGCAGCGATTCGGATTTAATTAAGCTCTTGAAATAAACTCAAATCTTCAATATAGACCTTGTTTGAACCTGTGAGTTCCTTTTTTGAACCTTTTTCCACTCTGAGTTAAGTTTGAACCAAAAAAAACATGGGAGGCCATCAAGGCCCGGCCATGTATCAATGATGGCCGACCGTGGTGACGAATGGCCGGCTAACCCTCGATGGCGATAAACACTGTTCTGGGCGGGAGGCCGCCAACTGTCCATTTTTGAAGATATTTATAACTTTTTGAGCTCGAATTCTATAAAAACGAAGCTCTGGGATTGTTTTGAGGGTTGAACAACAATGTAGAGAGCCTATATACACCTTGAGAGCCCCTCCTTCCTCTTTCTTCCATTGCAAGTAACCTTTGAGCTAACCTAGCCTATTGGTTTCATCTCTATACTCCATATACAACCTTGTCTCACCACCTTAGAGTCTTGGTTGATCTTGGAGAAACATAATTCAAGCTTGACCGTGAGTTGAAACCAAGTTTGGATCATTAACAACAAGCTTACCCCTTAAAAGGTATAAGCTTGTTATCTTCTCTCTTGCTTTCATTTCTTACACTTGCTTCATAATCCTTACTATTTTGTATTGTTTTGAATCTATTTGAAGTGTTTAAGGTTGGGTTTGAAGAGTTACCAAAAGGATAGAGAGAGCTTGCTTTTTCTACACCTTTACCTATAGCTCAAACCCTTCATTTTCCACTCTTTTTCTTTGATATTTACACTGATTTTTAGAGTTTTCAAAAGGCTAAAAATCATGTTTTGAGCTTTCAAAAGTGGAGGGGTTAGCCACTCTTCCTTCCTCTTGCTTACTAGCCTTCATTCCTCTCTTTATTGTTTAGCTTTTTAAGCTCTTTTCATGCATGTTTAGCCTCTGCTTTTCATACATTTAGGGTTGTCCAAGCCTTTTGTATTGGTTCATGCTTTGTTTATTTTGTTTGTTGTCTCACAAGTTAGCATATGTAACTTGTTACATGTTATTCCAAGCTTTCCTTTGCTCATTTCCATGTTTGAGAGTCTAATTTTAACAATCAATCCACCATCCATCTTTTTCATGCTTGAGAATGATTTCAACCGATTGAGGTTGTTCAAAACATGTAAGAAAGATTCCTACTTAATGGCTTAATCTTTTCAAAGATTCATTGCCAACGGTGTGATCTTTCTCTCATGCTTTAGAAGAACCTCTTGTTTGACATTACTTCTTGTTTAGAGGACTTTAACATCACCATGGACAAATGGACTAAAGAATGGCAAGGCTTAATAAAATTAGTTTAAAACTTGGATCAACATACACAAAGAAAGTAGCTTAAATTGCTCCAACTTGGCCGGATGTTATGCCAAGTTCCTTGTGTCAAGAGTCATCACATGCTAATCCATAGCATTTTGATGATTCTTGAAGCGTTGCAACCTCCCTCTTTGAGTTCATACTATAACAAGAGGGAGGGTTGGTCTTATTCATTGCATTTTATTGACTTTTGTCCAAAATTGCATTCGAAACCATCAAGCAATCATGTTGCTCATTGATGGCCTTTGAATCAATTTTAACCTTCTCTCGAGGCTTTCCCATGACAGAGAAGGAAAAAAGGACAAACAGAGCTTAAGAATGCTCTGTCTACACTGGTTCACCTCAGAACACAAAAACAGAGCTTTGCACCAAATTGATGCATGGCCGGCCATCTGTAGGCCTGGCCGACCATCAGTGATGCGTGGCCGACCCTCAGTGTGTGGCCAACAGTGCAGTTTTGTAGAAAACAGAAGCAGTGGCTGAAGGTGAAACACAAGCAGCTTGGACAGACAAAGTAGCTTTCAGGCGCTGCGCACACAACCTTTTATCCATCTTCCATTATGCTCTTATCAAATGCGATTAGTATTATTATCATTCGTTGTGAATAAATCTCGTTGTAATTAATTAGTGATAGCTAGTCGATTTTATTCACATGTTGTATTTATTTTAATTAGTTAGTTAACTAGTTCATTAATTCAAGTGTTGTAATAATTAGTTAAGTAGTTTAGTTATTATTCGGTTTATAATAATTAGCTTAATTAGCTTAATTAGCTTAGTTAGCTAGTTAGCTTAATCTATTCGGACCCTCCTGCGTGAGGGCATCAATGTTGTAATAATGTGTATGTCTTCCAACCCCACATCTTTCTCCTTTTTATTTATCCGCTTTTGATGGTTAGATTAGGGGCACCACATCTCAATTAGCATATCGCATGTTTGCATTCATTCATTTGTCCTACATACACTGAGGCTCAGTTCATTATTCTAACTACATTGTGATTTTAATACTTCTTTGAATACATGCTTAGACCGCATGCTATTTACTTGTTTCATATGCCATATTAGTAGCCAGCCTAGTAATTGCATTATTGCATGCGTTGCACTAGCCATCTTCTATAGTTAGAAATCATGCATTTTTCTAACTCATTTTGTTTTATCTTAACTTAGAGTATTAGGTGAGTTTTTAGTACTTTAGCATACTTGCATGAGTGTAAGTGACTGTCATGACTAGCATGCTTGTCAAGAGGCTAAATGCTTACTTGTTAAAATGTTTGAATGCCTGTGGATGAAGGCTTGTTGCTTGAATTGGAATGATTCAACAAATGTACGTTTAAGCCCACTTTGTTAACTGGCAAAATCAAACCTTTTTCGAAAAACAAACATGAAATTGAAATTGTTCCAATTCAGGCAAACTAGTCTATACCTTGTGTGCATGCATCACATAGTAAGTGCTAACCTAATAAACTAGAACAAGAGCATATAATGTACATAAGATTCATATCATGATTAGTAGAGGCCGATCTTTGATCGGGTGAGCAGTGGTGCTCAATTTATGACCTTTCCCTCTCGTACCTAAGTTCCCGAGCTGAGACAATCTTGGTGATGACGGACACGTGGCCTTTGGCACAAGTCATGGGTTTCCTAATTTTTTTTAAAATTTAGGTGGCGACTCTGTATTTGGCAAAGCAGTCCATTTTTGGCAATTTGATTCATAATCGATTTTCCAATAAATTTGTCGGATTTGGACTCTTTAGTGTTTATCAATTTCACATTGCACTTGTGAGATTAGATTCAGAACCTTGGGAGTTCGAACTATAGGGCTATTCGCCTTCGGAAAGGGGGTGTGAAAAAGTCGAGCTACATCTCCAGGGACTAATGTAAAGACTCGGCCTTGTCTTAAAGTTTCTCCCCTAGTATTAGCTCTCACATTTGTTCTTGGTGCAGAAGTAAATCCAGCTGAACTTGCTGCAAAACGGTTAGTCGTGTCAAGTCTCATCGAGCACACTCTAATCATGTGGCCTGTCTTGCCGCATCGGAAACAAGCACCAGATGCTCGGTGGCACATGCCCCTATGTTTCCTTCCACATTATGGACAAACTGGCATAGACCCACTGCTTTGGCTTGAGCTACTTGACGATCCAATATTTTGCTTCTTCGAAAATGATCGGCCCTTCTTGAAACTGAATCCGGCCTTTTACCTCTCCATTTAGTGTTGGAGTTGTAGCTTGTTTCTTTGTTGCTAGTATGGCCTCTACCATAAATGCCCTATCAAGCACTTCCAAATAAGTAGGCAATTTCAATACGCCCAGTCGATCATACACATCCAGGTCTAAGCCCTCTTCAAATTTTCGGGCCTTCTTATAATCTGTATCGACCATATGAGAAGCAAATCTGGCCAACTCAGTAAACTTAGCCTCATACTTGGCTACAGACATTCTGCCTTGCTTCAATTCTTGGAATTCAGAAACTTTCTGATCCCAAAAGTACTGAGGAAAATACTTGTTATAGAAGATCTCATTGAATTGAGCCGAGGTCATATTCTCATTACTACTTCGGATTAATAACCACCATCTCCGAGCTTCATCTTTAAAAGTGTAAGTGGCCAATAAAACCTTCTGAGTCTTAGTATAAGGAAATACTTCATATAACTTCTCTATTTCTAGTAACCAAGTCTCCGCTTTCAATGGTTCAATACCACCCAAGAAGGTCGGCGGTTTCATCTTCATGAATTTCTGAGTGAGGTTAATGATGTCATTATTATCCAACACAACTTGGACCGGAGGAGGCGAAGAAGGCATCGATTGTTGTCTTTGCTACTTTGTTATTGTTTTAGTCAGAGCGGCAATCATTTGTTCCATTCGGCTCATTCGAGCCTCTACGGATTCACTTGCATCACTACTTCTTGCATTCTCCATTAGCTATAGGTAAACAAAAGAATAATAAACATAGGCAAATAGTTCTTTGCACAGTGTTTGGAATATTCACTTCCAGTTCGTTCGTTTCAATTTCATGTGTTCATGTTCTGGTACAGTTTTCTCATGCACAGAAATTAATACACACTCACACATGTAGATGGAATGCCCCTAACCCTCACTAGGACACCCTATAGCTCATATGGACTCGTGTGTCCGATATAATCATGTGCTCTGATACCACTATGTCACGACCTAAACCCACCCCTATAGGTTTAGCGTCGTAACCAACCAGTAATCCTTGGGTTACCAAAGGCCTCTAAATAAAATAATTTATAATTAGGGGTTGCGGAAGCAAATATAGAAACATACATAGTCCATTAAGCTATGGAGACATATATGGAACAGAAACTTTAAACCTTTTTCACATATACACGACATTATAATGTAGTAGTCTTACATCATATTCATTACAGATATAAACAAAAGGGGGTTTAGCCCAATATACGATTAACAAAAACTTGTTCATAATCTAAAGAGAAAACAAAGCCTTATACGTTCGCAAAACATAACCATAAGATGTATGGAACCTCCTTGGGAGGCACAAAGGCTGGCTGACAAAAACTAAGACGCCAGGTCCTCAACTCTGAGCCTGGTTACGCGCAAGGTCACCTACATACATAATATAAATAGTGAGTGGAAGCCTAGAGAATAATAACAGAGTAAAGAGTTTAAATGAATGATGTCCTTAACAGAATCAGAAACTAGAGTTCATATCAAAAACAAATTGTATTCATTTTCTTGTTTAACTTCATACACAAATTACAGTTCATGCTTCATCATAAATGGTATATCCATTAGCGTTATCATGCTTGTCAATTCCATAAGGAACCTCTGGTACCGAGAGCTTATAATGTACTTGAGCCACGGTATTGTTACCCTTAGGCAAGGGCCATGAGACCATGGTATTATTACCCCTGGACAAAGGCCTTGCTTATAAACCATGATATTATTACCCCCGGGTAAGGACCTTGTGCTAAGGATGCCACGAATACTTGTCAAAAATTGAACAATCATTCATTGGACAAAATGTAACATTTCATAAAACAGAGCATTCTTGTCATATCATATCATATAAGAAATTATTTTAGACATAAACATAGCTTTACAAAGTTATTACTCATAGATGGCTCCACTTGCGAATCAAACAATTCAGATAACTTGTAGCGCATGACCTACATACACACAGCAGAAACATATAATGACACACACACTCAGTTGGCACTTAACTTCTTTCGTTTCATTCTTAGTGTGTTTCTAAGTATTAACCTCTTATCGAGTTTTAATCATGGCCTAAGAATTCCTAGGATGCAATGTGGATGCTAAGATGCACTTTGGAATCCTAAACAAAGCTTGCCAAAAATAGGGGTCCTACTCGAGCGTAACTTACCCCACTCGAGCAGAAATACAATCATGTGAGGGGTTGCTGGAGCACAACTTTCTTCGCTCAAGCGGTCTGCAAACTTTTGAAAAAAGAACTGGTTGAGTGATTTTCACGCTCGACGGACGCTCAACGGTTGCTCGAGCGTGAGATTCAGGTCCTCGCTTGAGTGCAACTCTTGTTGCTCGAGTAGTCTGCAAAAACATGAAACTTTTGGGAGCTTGCATTTCACGCTCGAGCAGACTTCAGGTCGCTAGAGCGGAAGTGTAAGATCACAGAGTGATCGCTCGAGCGCAGGTTCTGCCGCTCGAGCAGAAAGTAAAATTCTAGAATTTCCAGATTGCTCTTCTCAACTCAAAACTCAAATTCAACCCTTCAAACACAACTCTTGGGCCCCAAAACTTGAGAAAACAAGTCTAAACTTGGAAAACATAAAGAAGTAAGGATCATTTCATGAAATCAAGGCCCATAAGAATGTCTATTATACAAACTCAAGCTTGAATTGTAAAAACATAACATGAATATGACATGCATGGAGTGATTTAAGCTCCAAGTTTCCAAATCATGAGCAAATGAGATGTTTAGATCAAAAATTTGTTGAATTCCTTAAAAAAAAACAAAGATATGGACATGCATATGGAAATTCTTGAGAATCAAACTCAAAAATGCTATGATATATGCATGCATACATGGTACACTTCTATAGTCAACCATCTAAGTTCAATTCTTGCACTATACAACTCAATTCTTTGAATTCATGTGCTAAGTGACTCAATCCCAAAGTTAGAAGGTTGAATTCTTAAATCCAATGGTCAATTGTTTGAAGTCTCAAGCCAAACCCTCCAAATTCTCTTGTAATTCTCCTAAAATGGGCTCAATCTTCTCTTCTCCCTCTTTCTCTCTCTCTCTCTCCCTCTCCCTCTCTCCCTCTCCCTCTCTCCCTCTACATTTGTAAGCTCAAGGGATGAGGAAATGAGTGTGTAAAGTGTAATCAAGAGCTCACTTGTGCCTTATATAGGCTCAACTAATGAAACTTAATTAGTTTGAGTCAAAAATAACTAAGTGGAATTATTTTATTCTATTTTATTCGTTCTGAATCGAATTTCAATTGAACTTACCATAATGTTCTAAAAATTCCAAATAACACATATACCAAGTCAATTTCGTGATCAGATGCCGATAAGGCCTTCGATTCACAAAATATAACAAGATTTCAAACAGATATTCCTATGATAAACAGATAGAAACACAAATAATGCAACACATATGCAAATAATTTAGAATTTTATCTTAATTACTTATTAAGCGTATTGCATCATGTATTAACGTTAATCAGAGGTCGAGGTTGTTACAGTAGCCAAGTTGGTTGAGGGCGAGGGACTAGGGACCTAGGAGTATGCTCCTCTCTAGGTCTTAGATTCGAATCTCACCCCTAGCTAGCTACTTGCGGGCCACTGCGTCTTTGCCTGGTCGATCGACTCAAGGCCTCGAGATTAGTCGAGGTGCGACACTCCAAAAGAGTGCTGGCCCGAACACTTGGTTATCAAAAAAAAAAAAAAAAAAATGACAAATTAGCTTGATACCTCCTTACTTCACTTTTGGCTTTGTCGGCTTCTTTTTTTTTTTTTTTTGCATCCTTAATTTAAAATAAAAAATGTGTAAGCATGTAGAAAATGTTGCACTGACAAGTGACTAATAGGTAAGGGTGTAATTGTTTGGTTCTGAATTGGGAGAAAATTTAGCTCTAAATTGAATTCTTTAATTTTGTTAATTGAAAAATCAAAAGTGACCCAATGCCACAATTCGGTTTTTGCTGTTTTTCAATTTAGTACAAAATAACAATTCGCATGACACTTTAAGGGTTTTAAAATTTTATATAATCACATAGAAAAATGAAAAGAAATGGTGACAAATGCTCTATAAATGCATTTGTCCCTAACATTTGTTACTTATCTTTAAAATATTTAATAATTTTATTAACACATATTTTAAAGACACATATCAATAAGTTTTGAAATATTATACATTTTACATGAAAATACATAATATCTTAAAATTTTCTTAACCTATGTAAACAAGAGCTAATATTTATATTTCGGAAATAGATCAATAGTTAGAAGTTGCCCAACTGTTCATATTTTAATTTGATGGACTCCTCTCACGTGTGGAATGATTTAGTGTACATTATTATGACCAGATTTTAGTATATAGTATATAACATATATACATGTTACTATTATCTAGGCCAGCTTTTGCTTCATTGTTCTTGGACATGAAAAGTTGCAATTACTAGATAGTTTGTCCAAAACATGAGAAATTGTTCAAGAATTTGTTTTTTCTTGGGTTTTTTTTTTTTAGATTGGAAAGAAGAAAAAAGAACTCAAGAAAACCAAATTCTTGAGTTGGATAATGGTGAGCCTATTTTGGGGCATGTTATAAAAATATTAATACAAAAAAATTAAGATGATTGGATATTAGTAGTTATATTTTTATACCACATTTGTTTTAAAAGAAATAAACAGCAATATAATTTCAATAATATACCATTCGTTTTTTATTTGGTGTATTAAGGACATGAATCATGTTGGACCATTTTAATATCTTTTATTTATTTATTTATATATTTTTTGTTCATGAATCTTCTTTTGTCTTGTTCATGAATGGAGATTCATTATTTTGGTGACCTTTTGTCTTGTTCATGAATGAAGATTAATTAGAATTCATGAACTAGATGGTGAGTTAATAGTTGAATACACTCTCCATTTTCTCTAGGTTCAGGGTTATTATTATTTTTTAGTGTATTTTGTAAATTCCTACTGGCCTATAAATAGTTTCTTTCATCTACTCTTTTCCACACCAACACACCAACTATTGTTTATACTTGAGAGATTACTAGCAAAGAATGATCTTTTTTCTTGGTGGAGCTTTGGATTCACCATCTTGTGCAGAGTTGGTCTGAACCATGCGACAAGCGGTTGGGCTGTTGTATTCTGGAGGGAACAAGTCATAGTTTTGTGACTGCTGCATTGGTGTTTGGGTTATTCCTACCGCAGTGGGCTTGATCTCCTTAAAGAAAATGAGATATCCATGTCTCAGCGTGATTTATTTGTATCTCATTTTCTTTGCATTATTTATCAATAAAATGTAATTTTTTCTGGTATTTTCACCAACAATTTTAAGGAGATCAAACATGGAACAAGTACCAGAAAAAACCAACGGTAGAATTGGAGATCTCAACAAGCCTTTCAAGTTCAATGGAGTTTATTTTAAAAGGTGGAAAGAAAAAGTTCTTTTTTACTTTAGCCTTTTGAAAGTTGCATATGCTCTTACCGAGAAGAACCCAAACAAAATCTCAATCAAGGAGATAAATGATAAAAGAGTACGAGGCACATGAAACAAAAGTGGCTTCCTACAATACAGATGAGTATAAATGTCAATTTTATCT